ACATAAATTTTAAAACTAATCTATAAATCGTACGGTGGCGATAATCCTCAAAGCCTCAAAGATACTTAAAAAAGACATCACAACAGAAWGGTGGACGTGAAAACGTAAGARTTTCAACTCTTAAGGCTAGTAAATTAAAAATATTCAAATTAATCACTACATTGCGTTTCATGGAGTACTAGCCTGTTTAAGAAGTCTTTCTTTCTCCTCTGCTGGCGAACTCTTATTTTCTTTCTCCATTTCATCTAAAATGCTGCTTTTCTTGTCTTCAAGCTCGTTTAGTTTCTCATACAGACTCACTGCAGACAAAGGATTCAGTCAATCACAATGATTTTACAGAAGTATTACAAGTTATTCAATATTCAAACTCATTTTTTCATTGGTCGAGTCACGTGGAGGCTCCAGCACGGGAAATAAATCTTATGTGATCAGTTCAAGGTTTGCTGAAAACGGGGCTCAACTCAACCGCGTCGTCCCCAGGCCCTGTTATATAAAAGAATAATGACCTGGGAACGAGGATGGCTTGAATTGCATTTATTTAAAATCATTAAGATTCTTTTTTTTTTTTTCACTCTTTTTTTTCGTAGTTAGTATACGTACCTGCTTCCTGTTTTATTGGTGATGAAGATACTTCCTATATCATAAGATATCTCACATTAATATAGATATATAGTTTCCCACTGCCCTTATAACTGGTCTCTTTCGCAGCCTATCCAAACGAAGCCCATCAAAAGCAAAAGCTGCGAAGAAGACTACCTTACTAATAATCTGAACTTTCGCACACTTGACAGAAAAGCTCTTAAACTAAACAAGATTAGGGTGATATTTTATCAACCGCATCATATTTTATCAAGGCAAATAGTTTGGTATTATTTTACTATTCTTTCCTATTGTTCTTTTTAAATTGAAACCCAACTTTTTCGTCAACTCTCACTAAAGTTTATGAATGAATGAACAAATAAAGAAGAGCCAAATGGGAAATGGACGAAAGTTAGAGGTTAAAAGGATGGAAATGAGAGGAGAATTGAGAAAAGAAAGATAGGATTTGAATTAAAACCACCGAAACACGATCACGATGTGAMCATAGACATCTGAAGCTTTTACGTCATGTACTGCATACACAATACATTGTAGGATATGTTTGGGACAGAACATGGCGGATTTCTTTTGTTTTCCCTACAAACTAATCCCACAATGCATTGAAAATCAAKTGGTGACGTAAAAGGTTCAGAACTCTATATAGGCAAGTGAAAAAAGTCGATAAATGTTTCATGGAAATATCGACGAAGAGGGATAACGAATATGAAATGACAAAATGGACGATGTTTGAATCCCACCTCCTCTAGGTTTGCTATCTTCAAGTTTAGAGCATCAAGTTCCTGCTGCTTCTGTTCCAAGTCCTGAAAATATTTGAATTTTATGAATATTCACACTTCTCCTAAAAAAAACTTCTGACAAACGATATCTTGAATTAGAGAATGATATACTCTACATAGAACTCTTGGAAAACAATTATGAAGCTATGATAAATACATCAAAGCCTTGACAAGTACATTTCTAGCGTGATACATACCGATTGCAAGGATTTGTTGATATTYTTCAAGTGAACATACTTGGATTTCTGGTCAGGAGGCTAAAAAATACAAAATAACATAAAACAAACAAACTCACTTTCAGGGAAAATAAAAAAAACTAACGCCTAAAGAATCACGTCTAGTGATAACCCTATGTGATATTACCATGTCTTCGACAAGACTTTCAGCCATGCGATGTTCCTGGTCAAGTTCCACCTCCAGCTGTTGTATTTGTTGTTCTTTACTACAAAGAAATACACATATTTTTCAGTAATACTTCAAATTGTCGTTTATCTAAGTTCCTGTTTTAACGTCTAGCAATTTTGTCGCGCGACATGAACTGCGATTTTTGCGGCAATATATTGCACATATAAACATGTAAAAATGAACGGTCTGTAAAGACCCGTTTGCACTTGCGATTTTTGCAGCGCGATAATCGCCACTTTGCTATCGCGCACCTCAAATCGTACGTGTAAACAGCTCTGGGATTGTTGCGGAGATCGCCGCGAAGTTGYAGCCAATTTTCAAGCATGTTCGAAACTCAGGCGATGTTCGCGCGACGATCGCGGCGAGAATCGTTCTGCAAAARTCGCAAATGTAAATGGCCCTTAACTTCCCGGTAATTACGCAGACCAGGAGAAAATCGCAGCGATTTGCACTACAATTTTCGAGCATGTTCGAATTGGCTTCGATATACTGAACCTTCAAGCTGCAGACGTAAAACCACCGTGAATTCGAGGGCGTTTACACGCGCGATTTACGCAGCTCTAGTTCGCAAACTTACTCTTGTCGTTGTGTGAAGATTTCATCAATTGACTTTTGTTCTCTTTCATTTTGAAGCTTAAGCTGAAAACAGATGTTTCAAATGAAATCAGCCATTGTAAATTAATACATTACTCCTTTATTTCATTTCATTTCACTTCATTTCATTTCTATTCACTTTATTTCAAGTCTTAAAAGACTTATCATTGTCCAACTCACTGCATTGTAGTCTTGAATGATGTCGTCCATCTCAGTGTCTGTATTCAACTTATCAACAAGCTACATACAAAAATACAACAAATAGAACTCTATATTAAATACTTCACACAGAGAAATGCTTGTAATAAAGYACAAATACTCTTACTATTGATTTTCAAAAATAGGCGATATGTATTATTGTGGCGTCATTTTAATACCCGAATGCTCTGCATATTTTCATTGTTATTTAGATTTTTAATCCCTTAGAAAATCCCTTGGAATTKTTTTGTGCTGTGGTACTCACAGTGTTGTAATCGGCAAGTTCTCCTTGAAGACCTTTGATTTCTGAAGCAAGGGTTTCAGCTCTGCAATAAATCATTGCTTGTCTATCAAGATATCAATCGAACACTCGAAACATAAATTCCTATTTGTGTGTCCAATGGTAAATATGAATCTTGTACTAGTATCCATCAAACTATGGGCAAAAATATCACAAATGCAGCATTCTGATTGGCTACCAAACTAGGGTTTATTGTTTTCATGGTAAGTTATCATAAATTATTATATAGATGATTTCTAACGMGCGCTCTGATTGGCCAAAAAAGTGTGGTTTATGAGAATATAAACCACAGCTGAGCCTTATTTATTTGTTAAATAATGATAAAAATTGTTCTTGATGTTTTTTGTTTTTGAAAATTTGCTTAGTCTACGGACCGTATGAAAAAGGGCGTGGCCATCGAAACGCCTGAGTCTATATTAAGTTGTTTAATATATTACTACTCGTTAAAAGAACATATTATAATGAGTGAGATSTGAAAGTTTCAATGCTCTAACATTTAAGGACCAAAAATTACAGGTGTTTAAAATTGCAAAGATTTGAGTGAAAATCAGTATTGAGGCCTTACAAGCCTTGTTTTCACGTTTTTGGCACGTTTTAAGTCCTTTTAGCTCTGCTAATATTTTACCATTTGAAACTAATACGCCAATTCACTAGTTTAAATATACTCTTTCTTATCATGAAAACAGAGTTTTAATAACATGGACCGTTGAAGGTGCTCATTCCCAGTCTTCTCTTGATTTTCATAAGGTCAATAGTTTGATGGATAATCAATCTTGTGAACTACAAGTCSGTTCAGCCAAGTTGCCTCGTTGAAAATCAACTTGTAGTCCACTTGACCTTGTAGCCTAATATCAGTCATGCCCAGGCTGAGATTCAGGGGGGTACATGATATAAGAAATGCAGAGCAGCTAGTTTTACTACTATTAAAGTGCATATGACATGATTTTTTTTGTTTTGRAAATWAAATCAATATGAAGAAAAYAATAGTTCTGTAAAGTGCCACTGGAWGMAKGCYTCTAATTTSAGAGAAAAATGGATTTTATGCTAATTTGATGACGTCAAAGTGTAACTCATTAATTATACAAAATTGTCCGATTGTTTATTGTCACCTTATTGTTTTGTAGAAGATATTTGCTATGGAATTCAAAACAATCTTTCAAAGTTTGACATGGGTATATTAGGAACACTTGTTACAAAACACAGTTGAAATGTTTTAGAGCAACCACATTGACGTCATCAAATTAGCATAATGGATTTTTAACTCCGATTTTCTCTGAAATTTGAAGCCCTGCATCAAGTGGTAATTAGCCAACCTGTTATGCTATTTTTCAAATAAAAAAAATTGTGTCATACAATGTATGCACTTTAATATCAGTTAGTTCAAMATTGCAACTCAACCTCATAGCCTAATATTAGTCATGCCCAGGCTGAGATTCAGGGGGGTACATGATATAAGAAATGCAGAGCAGATAGTTTTACTATTATTAATATCAGTTAGTTCAACATTGCAACTCAACCTCATAGCCTAATATTAGTCATGCCCAGGCTGAGATTCAGGGGGKTACATGATATAAGAAATGCAGAGCAGATAGTTTTATTATTATAGTATTATTATTAGTTATATCATTCAGTTAGTTCAACATTGCAATTGATTTTAAATATACTAATTATTAAAAAAACTGAAAATTCATAAAATAATACATAATATTATGAGTGACATACTTCTTTTCATAAGTAAGATACGTGGAGTTTTCTTGGTTGTATTGGTCAACTTCTTTTCTTAGTTTTGTCACTTCTGTGTTTAACTCTGTCATTTTTGCTCTGAAATACATGTAAAAAGCACAATGTAACATAAAGAAATTGAAAAAAAGAATGACAGTCAAACAA